TTATTGTTATTTTGTTGTTGTTATTATATTCAAGTTTACTTGGTCATACTATACACCATCATAAAATTCACCTCTTTAAACTGACGCTTTGAAGTCATTACATTTAATGTAATGAAAATATAGACACTGTTGCTTCAGAAACTCATTTCTTTTTTCCTAATTCTAATATTTAGCACAATTACTTCTTCAGAAAACAATTATTTTTGCTTTTCTCACTTCAGTCCTAAAGATGCTTGCTTTATAAGATGTATATTGCAGAAGTGTAATGTACTCTTCCCATTCTAGTACGTTTATGATTTGAGAAAGTTTGCTGATAGCGTTTAAAGGTTCTGTTTGATATTTAACTTTTTTTTCATCAAATAACCGTACATAAAAACAAAAAATAATCATGTGACATCTAAAACAGCAGCAGAAGTTTAAGGGCAGTATTGTACCGTAGAGGAAATAAAAAAAAAAAAAAAAAAAATTCCAGTATTAATAGAAACGCTAAATTGCTTTTATTTATTTAATTCAATTTATTTATTTAATTTGAGTGTCTGTAGTGACACATTAAATACTACAGTTAATCATCATTGAAATTAAAGTGAATCCATGACACAGGTGAATTAATACACCCAAAATCTAGAGCTTTATAGAAAAATAATGCATCTCAAATGTTCAGTACAGCATCAAGAAATAAAACAGAATGCTACTTTTGAATGATCTAGAGAATAAGAATATTTGTTTAATGGTGTCTGGATATGCATTTTCTGCAATCAGCAACGCAGTGTTTCCCAAATCATCAGGTCAAATGCATAGAGGCCTCTTCCAAAAAGAGAGTTTCCCTATTTTCTTGAAAGAATGTGCTAGGCCATGAGGTGTACTAATGAGTTATATCTTACAGTAGAAATTTTGTCAGGAAAAGAGTCCATAGTTTCACATAGCTTGCCACATATGAAGAAAATCCTAAAGTAGAAGATGCAGTATTTTTGTTTTGAATTTTTCAAGATAATTTCTGTGTTTATTAGGAATTACTTTTCCTTGCTTCTTTTTCATTTTTTTAGAAGTTAGATCAAATTGCATCTTTCCAGATACTACAGGAAACATTTCAAGTGATTTGATAGAAACAGAATGAAAAAAAAAAACAAACACTTTACATACCTTTCATTTTCTTTTAGCAGTAGTGAACTGGAAATCACATGCTTAAAGGGCTGTAGTTCTCTAGTGTTGAACAGCTTTTTATACACAGTAGGGATGAGACTCTGATATTATCCCAAGACTGATATGGATTACTGCTAATGGCTCATATTGTCTTTGGAAATTTGACTATGAGTTTGACTGTGCAAGAAGTGCAAGAAATTAGGAGTGCTGTTTCTTAAAATAGCCACTTCTTATTTTCAAAGAAAGCAATTCATCATGGACTTACTGAATTCATCAAATAGACAGCTAGATTTTACAAGATGTATGAAGTGCTGGTTCTTCCAATGTGTTCTGCCTTATGTTGGAACTTTTTTTTTCTTTTTCTAGAAATGGGATCAGTAAACTGGTACAAAGGGCAAGGGAGAAAAAAATTACTTGAAAATCAGTCACCCATTTAACCAGGCTTGAGAAATGCAATCTAAGTCCTACACTTTAGAAGGCTTGTATAGAGTGTTAGTAAATAATAGACCTAGTATATTAATAGAGCTATGGTGGACAGTGCTAAGTATTTGAGTCTAGGAGTGGTTATTGCAAGGATACTGAGGAGATGTTAGAGCTTCTCTGTGTCAAAGCTTCTCCTTGTTGCAATAACTTTACTAGACACTGCATATTGCACTCTGTAAATGAATGACTAGAAATTGAACAGTTAAGTGACATATCTTGTGACCTTAATAGTACCTGAAACCTCATAATGTGCCTTATCCAGTGTACTAAGATGTTTTACTAGGAGATCTGAATTAATCTTACAACTTACTCTCATTCATTCACCTTGATAATTAAAGAAGATTAAAGAAGAAATAATATTTTTATTATAATTTTTATTTAAAAAAATGTAATTGGTACTAGAAATCAGTGATCAGCCAGCAATTGTAAGCATTATCTCTATTTAAAATATTTTTGAAAGTACAGACAATTCTATAGAATAAAAATTTTGATGTGGATTTTTTTTTATTTTAATTTGCTGACAAAACATGATACCACTTTAATACTACTGTTCAGCCTCCCATGATGAAAGACCTCCACAGTTATCTATTTTTCTAATTGAAAATAGCCACTACCCTGGAATGGAAGCATAGCAAAATACCTTATTTAAACTTGGCAACTAAAATATGAGGTATTTAATGTAGTTGTACCAGAATATACAAGTAGATTTCAAATTCAGAAAAGAAATCCTGAAAATTTTTCCAATAACTACAGTTTCTTAATAAAACTTTGTTTAATTTTGTTTCATCCTTTCAGGATGTAGAAAATAATCCTCAGCTTTAGAATTTTCATCTGTTTTTATGTTGCATATTATGTGTGATAGGCACTGGTAAAAATCAGATTAGTTAGTTACTCTGATCAATGTAGAATTAAGTTGCCTTATAAATCAGAAAATATGCTGTAACTTTCTAAAGAATGTATAAAGGATTTTGACAGTCTGCTTCCCTCATGTTTGAAATAAATATTTATTGAATTATGACTACAGTAGCCAACTATCACCAAATGTCTGACAATGTATACAGAATAAATGTATCTTCATATATCTTTATTTTTATAGCATATATAAATATCAATTACTTTGCCATTCCTGAGCATGAGCTTCTCTGATATACTGTAAAAACCTTCCTTGGTATAAGTAGATTTCCTATTGTACTTCATTCTTTTTGTATGTGGAGAAGAAAAAATATGGCATAATACATGAAATCTAAGAAGGAACTTTGAATGGGGACACAAGGTAAATGAATCCTATAAGTCACACTTAATTGAAAACAGGTCAGTACTGGTTCCTTTTTTATGTAAAATAAAGATATAATTTTCAACAGAAAGCTTGAAAAGAATAATTAATTAATTTAATTAAAAATCTCATTTTCTTCTACTAGGCTTATTTCCTGGAATGATTTTGGTAATGATTAGAAAGTAAATGAAATAGGATTGAGGGCTCGTGTCATCTTTGCCATAATCATTAAGTAGCTTATTTAGACTTTTAGAGAGTTTCTAAACTCCTTTTTTTTTCAGATGGTTTAGAGAAAAAGGTCACAGCAAACTACTTATGGCAACCTCTGGCCTTAACAGAACAATTTATTATCAAACTAAATCATATATGCTCATGGTTTGTCTAAATCTTAGAAATGGAAAGATTCTGGGACAGAGTTTACTGACTCAGCTTCTTCAAATATTATCCACTTATTCTTACACATCTTGAAAGGTGACTCTGAAAGTTATAAATACTAATGCTGCAACTTTTCCCTCCCCACTTTCCCCCCCCCGCCCCTGAATAAAAGAGCATATTTAACAAAGCGGAAAGCAGCTCTGTTTCTTCTGCACTTTGTCCATCTTGTCAACATCTATCATTTCAACACAGAACACATTCTGTTAACTTCTACCTTGAATATGACTATTCCAAACAACATAAGAGAAGAGAATGATGCCTTCTTATGAAGCCTAAGGATACACTGTGATTTCTGTGGTGTAATTCAGGACTTTTGAGTCTTGATCTAAACTATTAATGCACGGACTACAAGCCATCTAGTTTCTGTGAAATAAAGACTACTTACTGGTTCTGTGATATAAAACATTTCAGAAGGGGTAAAGGTTCCTTGAAGAAGCAAACTTATGTTACAATTGAAAGTTTGGGAGACCATTTAGAATGGTGAATGATTTTCTTTGGTGTTGTGAGTATTTATTCATACACATACATATAGATATACACACTACATTGCAAAGTATGATTTGACAACTACTGTTGTATCTCAAAGAAACAATAACCTAAAAATTCATAAAGGATTTCAGGTGCTGAGTGAGATATGCTGTTGTCAGATTTCCTATTGTAGCAACCAGTATTGAATGGGGACTGCTTGTGCATAAATCAAAGTTTACATTTTTCTTGAAGAATTCCTTTAAGTTAGCTTTACATAATGGAAGGACTCCTCTTGAAAGCCCCACATTACAGTTGCATATAAGTAAAGGCGCAGAATTGCTTATTAACATGCTGATTCCTATGTATAAATTAAATAATAGAAATCCTACATAAAATAGTTTATTTCAAGAAGAAGCATACAAGAAAGGTTACTTACGATTAATTCAAATATGATGAAAATACAGCAGAAATAGAACAAATATATACTAGCTTAAGACATTTGCCTAATATGTCACTCTGTAAGAACTTCCCAAACATTCTTGCAGCTCTTTGCTCAAGAATTGCAGTTACTAACAGAGCACATCTGAAGTCTCTGTAAGAACAAGCAAAATCAACTCTTAAACATTTTCTAGGTACTAAAGTCAGAAAAAGATGTTTCTTCTCTGAAACCCATTATTTATTTGACTTAATATATTTTTCTCTCTTTTTTCAGTTTTATGTCTCCATATAATGGACATTTTGCTTAGGTGTTCTTGTGCTGCAGAGAAGTTCTACTGTACTTCTCTGGGGAAGTGTCTGGAGTTCCCCTTCAGCAGTGCCTGGTTTCAGTGTTTCTCATCATGGGAAAAAACAAAGATGGGAACAAGAACAGCAAGTGCAATTGTGGGAGATAGCAGGAGGGCTAAGAACATTTATAGGTGATTTGCTTATGTGCAACTGACAATGTCAGGTAGAAGTAATAGCTCCAGCTAGTGGTAATTAGGAAGCCAATTCCCTTTACCACTGTTATCAATTGGAGTAACTAGGTGCACAGCAGATATAGCAAGCTTCTCTTCTTACTTTCTCCTGTAAAAATATGCCATTGTAATCAGTTGCAAAGCAGTTGTGGTCTGATATGTGAAATCTGCATGCCTTTACTTACATTTGCAGTATTTCAGCCGCATATTTATTGCACAACATCCTTTTTGTTTTCTCCCTTCAGGTTCAGGTGCTTCGCAATGCAGGGGAAGAAGTGACCCTAACTGTATCCTTCCTGAAAAGAGCACCTGCTTTTCTCAAACTGCCACTGAATGAAGATTGTGCATGTAAGCTTTTATTACTTGACCAAAAACAAAATGTAACAAAACAAACTATTCAATGAACATGTGAATTCTTACATTTTCTCAACATACTGTGCATTGACAGTGATTGACAGGAGATTTTTCAGCCAGTATTGGCATGAATATGAGCTGCCTGTCTTACCAGATGTTGTATTAGCATTCATCTCAAGTGAAAGATTATTATCTTTGCTTGACAGACCAACCACCAGGCACTTGACTTGTGTGAATTGTCAAAGCTACAGCTAAGTCAACGCAGTTCTATTGATTTACCGTAACTTACACCCAGATGCACTGTATTTTAAAGGCATTTTTCAGGCCACATCTGAGAACATTTCCGTTTGGAAGAGTTTTGTTTGCCAAATGTGAAAATGAGATTTTGTATTTGGAGGGCTTAACATCTCAATCAGAGGCTTTGGTAGAGGTGCCTGTGTTCCTAAAAATGAATTAATATACCTGACTAGCATTTTGTATAAGTCCAACAGAGTTTTAGTCAACTAGCCCCATGAGAAACATGTGGAGACAACTGCCTTGCCTTAATTATATCCAATTATAAGTGTGGGTGCATAATTATAGACATTTCCAGCATACTTAAGTATCTAGGTATGTGTGGGCTTCTGGCTTTAGTCCTGCCTGTTTTCCTTCTGTTTCTATCTCCTAAAAGAGTAAAATTATTGCTTGATTTTTAAGCTATAAAGCAACTAGTATTTAGCTTTGAGTTTTAAGTTAGTAGGACACAGTGTGGGCTATAAGATAATTTTTATACAGTCTTTTATTGAGGTAGTGTTTTTACTTTTTTTCTACTCATATATAACATTTTAGAAAGCATGACTAGAGAAAATATAGAACATGGGAAGTGTTTTCATATTCCTTCATGTTTTGCAAAACAGCAGGGAAACGTTTCTTGATCCTAAGTAAGCTTCATTCAAAGCGAAAGATAATTTTGATCACTTTACAGGCCTGAGGTTAAGAAGCTGATTTATGATGTGGTGTTGAACCAGAAAAAATACGAATGTCAGACAAAACTAAAGTGGGTGGAGGATGCATAGATGCGTACACACACATTTGAACTATAACATTATAGATTAATGTTTTTTTTTTTTTTTCTGTTCATATTTGTATTAGGTGCCCCCAGTGACCAAAGCAGTGGCACATCTTCCCCACTGTGTGACAGTGGTTTGCATCTCAACTACCATCCCAACAATACGGTAAGAGCTTGCATTTCCTTGATTCCTTGACGGAAGAATAGCACCATAATAATGTAGTGGAAATAACTAGTAACAGAGAACATAGAAAGAGCTAATTATTGTTGAAAATAAATAGGCAGTTCCATAAGGGACAAAAAGAGGTACCAGATACTGTGGCTAGGAATTTAGCTATGACAAATCACACCAGCTGATGTTATACTCTGAGAAATGTGATTAGTATTTTTATTTAGCAATACAGATTTAATAGAAATATGTTCTATCTCTGCTTGAGCAGCAGAAGAGTTTAAATCAGGTATACTTAAAAATGGCAAAGAACTTTTCTAGAAGATTGTTTTCCAAGACGTTTATTTATTATTTAGAATTTTTGTAAATTCTAAACAAACACTAAGCAAAATATTTATTACAGATATGCAAAAAACCTTAAATATTAGAATTGTTCAACAGACCTAACCGTTTCTATGTTATGACTTATTTTGCTGTTATATTTAACAAGTTTTTAAACAGAAAACAAGAGGCTAAAAAGTCACAGAATCACAGAATATGCAAGGTTAGAAGGGACCTCTAGAGATCATCTAGTCCAACCTTCCTGCTCAAGCAGGAACACCTAGAGCACGTGGCACAGGGTGGCATCCAGGCGGGTTTTGAAGACCTCCAGAGAAGGAGACTCCACAACCCCCCTGGGCAGCCTGTTCCAGGGCTCTGTCACCCTAACAGTAAAGAAGTTGCTCCTCACCTGGAGACGGAACTTCCTGTGCTCCAGCTTATGGCCATTACCCCTCGTCCTATCGCTTGCCACCAATGAGAACAGCTTGTCACCTTCCCTGCATTCTCCCTTCATGTGACTTTTTAGTCTCTTGTTTTCTGTTAAAAAACTTGTCATAGCTAAATTCCTAGCCACAGTATCTGGTACCTCTTTTTGTCCCTTATGGAACTGCCTATTTATTTTCAACTTCAAGGAATAACTTCTTGACCACTATTGTTTCATATAGAACTTTATGGAATAGGTGCTATATGTTTGTGTGTTTTTAATAATAAATTTTGATCATTTTACTCTTTAAAACCATTTCTTACTCAGTAAACAATCTACATTAATTAAAAAGCACTATGGATTAAACAGTGGATATTAAATACTCATTCTTCACAGATATGATGAATGCATTATTAGCCTGGATTTTATTATGAATAGTGTCTTGTATAAATAGGTCGAATTCAAATATTGATCATGTATGTAAACATGCATGGGGCCACAGGAAATAAAACAAAATGAATTAGGATTGCTTAGTGAATAATTTGTAGAAAACCTGTATCCTGAATAAAGGTGAAAAAATAATATCTGATAATGTGATCTGTGTTATCTGTGCCATTTTCATTCCTCTGCCATTTTATTTACTGTTCCTCTAAACATATTGATACTTAAGTTATTGGGTTTTTTTTTGTCTGTGAAAACTCCAGTGATTGCTAAATCTAATATAAAAAGATTTGGGTAAAGCAAAGACTATACTAAATGAAGTATAAAGTCTTTGATCTCTCTTTCTTGCTCTCTCTCTCCAAATCTGTGCTGATTTATAATGAAGCCAAAAACCAGAAGGACCTTTTTAATGTTTTTCAGGATACATTATCATGTTCCTCGTGGCCAGCATCCCCAGGACTTAGATGGGAAAAACGGTGGTGTGATCTCCGACTAATTCCACTTCTTCATTCACGTTTTTCTCAGTACCTCCCAGGATCAGATTTGTGCAGGTAAAGAAGTTCAGAAATTTTTGATTCCTTGGTGAAAAGTAACAATATTTAGAAATCTCTCTTTTTAGAGTAGTGCCATTATTAGCTTTACCGTAGCTGTTGGAGATGCAGAACATGGGAAATGTCATCATGGCCCCTGTAGCTTCATCTAGCCTTGTATTCTGCTCTTATGTCAACCAGGACCAGACACGTGTGGAAGATCTAGTGGTGAGCAACTTTCTCAGTCTGTGTGTGCACAGACTGTTCTGTCTGCAAGAGCTCTTTTTCCTTTTTTTTTTTTTTTTTTTTTTTTTTTTACCAGCTGCAAGTTGAGCCAAGAGGACAGTTTACATGTGGGGCCCCGAATCAGAGGGTTATGTGGCCAAGACTGCAGCAAAAAACAGATGAGGAGCACAGCAATGGCCTGAGATGACAAGTGGTGATATACATAGTTCTTTCAAAGTATCCAGAGCCCAGATCCTGTGGACATGCTGTGGCTAAGTTGTTCTCAACCACTAGTGGCTGGGTCCTGAGGAGGGGGACGAGGGTAGACCCAGCACCCAGAACCTAAGCCAAAGCTCTCAATTGACCATTTTTCAATTCTAGATCTTGTACAATTCTAGGTCCTGTATTTTCCTACCTAAAGGATCCGTGTTATCTCCATTTAGGGAAACCTCTCTGTAACACCGATTATCCTTGTTGTCTTTTCTGTTTCTTTGCTACTTATAATATATCTTCTGTGAAATAAGGTGACTGGAAAGCCAACAGAATCTCTCCTGATTTATGCCTTATATAAGGGCATAATAACCATTTCTGCTTTCTTCTCTGTTCCTTTTCTAATACTTCCTGATAACCTTCTGCCTTCTGACTGATGCTGAGCACTGAACTGATGGTTTTCAGAGAACTATTTGCAGTAATTCTTGTACCTCTTTCTTGAATGCTAACAGCTATAGGAGGGCTCTTCACTGTATATATAGCTAAGTTTATTCTTACTCACAGGCACTACTTTGCATTTATTAACATTGAGTTTCATTGCCATTTTATCTCCCTATCACCGTGAAAGTTGTCTGTAATGCATAGTCAGCTTTAGATTTATTGCATTGTATTGCACTGCTACATGACATTACTTAACTTAATGTTTCACTAGTTCCAATTCATTACTATCAAAATAGTTTAATAGAAATCAGAAAGGAAGACAGTAGCATTCTGAAATTATTACTGCTTTTCAAGCGTTATGCATTTTAAATGAAATGAAAATAGCTGCAAAGTCCAAGGAAGGAAAGTATCTAAATGTGATCATAATGGTTAAAACATTTAAATACCAAAGTATTACATTATTTTCACCATGTAAATGTATTTATATACATATATATATATATGCTATATATGTGTAAAATGAAGATACAGTAGCAACTTCTGTGACTTCTCGCTTGTAGTTTATTAACTAAAGGACAATTGTGTATAGCTTCAGAGTATGTTACTCTATTATTTCGATTGCTAGCAATTAGAAAGTTTAGTCTTAAATTAAGCACATAGGGCTTACTAATTGTGAGGCTGATTGTAATAAACACTGAGTTTGTTATACAGCCATGATGTCTTCCAGCTATTCTTTCTCTCTTTTTTTTTTTTTTTTTTTTTTTTTTTTCCACTTTGGTGTTTGAATCTTGGAAGAATAGTGGATCTTTTTACATCCTGGTTTCTCATCTGGCACTGCTGGTTTAAAATTTCCCGTTCTTCCATGTAAATACACACACTGCCACAGAGCACATATATTTGTGCTCTGAGTCACATATATTTGCTGATAAGACCCTTTTTTTTTTATCCTGCCAATTTCTCCAAAACAGGTCTATATTTCATACATTTCCTCTTTTAATACTGGTACTGAATTAGCTAATAATGTGTTATGATGAGACCAAAATCTCATTACTGACAAACACGGAAGAAGCTGTATATATATAGCTAAGAACATACAAGAATAATATTTTAATAGTCTAACTGTCCAAGTTACTCAAGTTACAGAAAAGTCTTATTCATATTTCTGCCAAGATTAGGCATAAATGCCTTCCTGATATATTTTTCTAAGTGTTATCCTTACATTTCCATTGCTGCAGTAAGTCCTACAGTATCCCTTTGCTATCTTCCTCAAGAGCTAGATTTATGATGATTTACCGGTGCCTTGAGGTCTTGAGATCTTTTCATCTTTAGGAGATGGGAACATGTTCTTCACCTTCAGTTTTGGCTTGGCTTGAGATTATTTTATCATAACCTGCTTTGTTCTTACTGGTTCTCAGTTACAACCTGCAAATTACACAAAAACCTCCCCAATCTCGGGGCTATTGCATGTTATGCATTCATCACTCAGGTCTGCCAGCTTTTCCTTAATGAGCTTAAGGAAAGCTCATTAAGCTTTCCTTTCACAGAGCTTAAGTCAAAGCAGGTTAGACAATATCACCATTAGATTGCTGAACTATAACCAGCTCAGGCCAAGGCAGTCCTAGAGAAGTCCTGATACTTTATTAAAACACCTGCAGGTTTTGACGGGTAACAGCAGTAAACAGTAAGCAATAAACAACAGGCAAAGTCATATTTACCTGGCAACATAGTCCTCCTCCTGGGCAGGAGACTGTACTGGCTCACTGTACTGAAAGGAAGCCTGATCTCTGCATGATCATGTAGATGTCTTATCCATGTTATCCAAGTCTTATCCATGTTAGGATATGTAAGCTTTATCCTCCATTCAGAGCTTGCTGTCATGTCTGGATTCTTCAAAGCAAAGGAATGGCTCTATTTCTTTTTAATGCTTCTCCTGCCAAGGAAAAGCCTTTACTTGACATGGATACAGCAGATACCTTTACGCTTGATATGGATACACTCTACATTTGATATAAATTGAATCTAGTTTTAAGAGGTAAAAGATAACTTTGTAGAATGGGTATCTATCTTGAGATGCCAGAAGCTGTCATAAATGACACTCAGTTTTGAACTAAAGATAACATTGACTTTGCATGAGGCACTCTTAAAGAATCTGAATGATGTGTGCCTAATTTTCAACTATGAATTGATCGCAAATGGATGTAATTGTAGTAGAATGCTAACAGTGTAACTTGGTATTCTCTGTGTGCTTAGTAACCTGTTATTTTAGGAGACGGATTAATATTGAGCTCTTTTGGTTCTAAAGCCAAACACATGTGAGCCTTCCAAAGGCTGTTAGCCAAAAAGGCTATTTACTGAGGAAATTAGGTCTGTTACTGGTTTGGCACCTGAAAGTTTTCTCTTGTTTTGTAATTGCTTGGCACTCGACTGTGGTAAGCAAGTCTATAATGCAGAACATTATGTGAGTGCCCAGAATGGCAACGGATATAGACACCTGGATGGCCACTGCTTCTGTCGATGGATGTCCATTACAATTCCACTGTATTCTAATGATTCAATATCCATAAATGTAATGTGAAAAATCATGAATGCTACCTGGTCAGCTATGAATTCTCAAAACCTTTCCATAAATGTTTTAAAGAGGATTATTTACAATCAAAACTCTATACCCAAAAGAAGCCAATGAGGGGTATTCAGGTAGTGATCTTACTGCATTAAACAATATTTTAGAAAAATAAAAAAAAAGGTTGTTGAGAAAAAGTGTGTCCCACGAAATTTCATGGAACATTGTCTACAGTGTCCAGTGTATACTTTCCTTCTCTTTGATCTGCAGTGATGGCATTAAACTGAGTGTTAACTCTTTGATGTGTATCCATTATTTCTCTTGTTTAGCTTTGATGTTACATACAGTTGGCTAAGGTGCCATGGAGCTATTCTATATTTTTTATAGCTACACCATCTATAGAAACTTAATATAGCATGGTTATTTTAATGTCAGATAATTATAAAGCAGGAAAACCAGCAATTTATCAGTATTCAGTGGCTAACCTTCATTGTAGTTGAAAGAAAAGCTTTTCTACAAGTATTGTTAGGATGGTGTGTTAGAACAGATGAAATTTTCTTCTGACCTGATCTATTATGACATGTCTATAGGCAAAATGCGTTCCAAGTAATTGCTGTGGATGGGGTTTGCAGTGGAATAATTCAGTGTCTCTCTGCTGAAGACTGTATTGACTGGCTACAAGCAATAGCAACTAACATTTCCAACCTCACAAAGCACAATGTAAGTATGGATCCAAGTAAGCCAGAAGGTTTCCCAATCACATTTGATTGCAACTGTCGTAAAAGCCTAATGGGTTCAAACACAGAATTATCTGCATATAAACAATGCTTGAGGCTGCCTGAGAGAAGTCAAGTTAAGTTTGTCATCAAATCTGACTGTGAGAAATCACTGAATGGGAAAACATTCTCCCCTACAGCCATGTAGTTCAATTCATCACTATGAAAAATATATGCTTTTTAGCAATTACCAGCTAGGATTAGAAATCAGGACCAGATAGGAGAGAGTCAGGTGTAAGCAATTACAAAGCAAAGGGGAATTCTGTAGTTCATTCTAGCTCATTTATAGTCAAAAAAAAAAAAAAAAAGAAAAAGAAAAAGGGGATGGGGAGAGAGAGAGAAACACCTTTTTATAAAGTCTATTACAATAATATTGCGATAAGAACTGAATTAGATATATTAGCTCTTAGATCTGTTTAGGTATTATTGTAAACAAGGAGAAACACAAGGGGCTCCTGTGGTATAAGTACAGATGTTCAGCAAAGATTAAGCTCATTTACACTTCACGCTCTTATGATTTCATCCGTGGGATAGATATAATTTGTACTGAAGCAAATATAAATGTTATGACAAAGTTTTGCCAAACTACAAGTCAGTTCAACAGAAAACTTTTCCAAAACACTTGCGGCATATTTTTGCATTTGGTAGATTGTATGCAAGTTTTCCTTTAGAAAAAAGGAAAGATGTCTTTCCTGTTTTCTCAAAAAGTGCAAATCACATGGGATAACTCCAGTATTTTAAAATGAGTTATAACAAGGAAACTCTTGAGGATTGAATTTATATTCTCTTCTTAAATCTGCTTTAGCCTCCTAAACCTGCCTCAAAATTTGCTTTTGTTTCAAATACTGGGAACACATTGAAGAAAGTTGTATTTCTTGGAGATTTATATTCAAGATACAAAGAAACTGTATTCCATCTGGCAGCAATATGTAAAAGTCAATGTATTACAGAAACGTGGCAGACATGAATTCATGAACCATCTGCAAGCTTCCATGCAGTACAAGCCAACTTCATTGCTATTTATTCATCCTTACAATGCTGTTGCTGTATAGAACTTCCTGTCTCACTAGGCATCCTGACAAATGAGGGTGCTATTTTTTTACTGTTTCCATCTTTAGTTCAGATTATGAATTATTCTTGCTGTGTGAAATAATGTATCTTTTAACTTTTTAACAATACATGAATGCACCCAGATTTTATATGTTAATGTTTTATGTAGCTCTGATGAACCTCTAATTGTGATTGCTTACTATAACTTCACTTTTGGTAATGTGTTGTGGTTCCATTATGTAGTTTCAACATTTTAAAAAGGAGGATAGTTTACAATTCTATCCTAGTATCCATAAGTTACAGAAACAATTGGAACTAATGTTTTAGAAGATGAAAGTAGTTAATTTTACAATTCTTATGCAAACCTTTCTATTTGCCTTGTCCTAATAACACCCAGTAGAGTAGCTGTGATTTAGCATTAGTCAGACTTTATGACTATTATCTATGAACATACTTTTAGATCTACCCTAATTGTTCTTTGCTGGTATGAATTTATGGAAACTGATAGGACTCTCCTGCTCTTGAAATACTCATGCTTTCTTTAAAAATACCATTTGCCTAAAAATTAGGTATTTAACAGCATATGATATAAGTGAAAAAAGAAACATTAGAAACGCAGGGGAAAAAAGAACTTTTACTCAGAACAATGACCAGAATAGAGATCCTCATATTCCTTTATTTGCAAGATGGTTATCGACATACACATATTGTTGAAGTCAGCATTTTTTTCCTCTGTGAGAGGCAATTACTATATTGCTCATAGTTGATTCTCCCTCAGGTTGGACTCCAGTATCAAGGAAATGAAGCAATTGAAGAGCTTTTGTAAGAGTATAGAGCTTCCAGTTTTGGCAAACTGAAACACATTTACTCTGCTGATTTTTAGTTTCACTTAACAACTTACTTCTATCTAGAGTTTATGTCAAACTATTATTTCTTTAATATATCATGTGGCTCATAGAAATGTAAACTTGGTTTCTCTGTCACATCTGCCTTTTTGGAACAGAAGGAAAAAAAGGAAAACAAGAAAGACTGTAAAAAACAAAATTGCTTATATAAACCTTTGCTTTTCTTTTCCTTTTCCTTTCCTTCTCTTTTCTAACAGGACCATTTGATACAAAGGTGGTATGACTCAATTGCAGGATCTGCAATATACCCAATGCCTACTAGATAGGAAAAGAGTAATAAAATATAGAAGTAGAAGGCAAACCCAAAATATCTTGATATCATCACCTTTGAAAACCAGTATTGCTAACTAAAAATAAATAATGGAGTTTTTATTTGGGGATTTCTCCTTCAGACTATATTTGTTGCTCTTGTCTATTCTCTATAGCAGATTTTTATATAATGAATGCAATGATATGTCCTACTGTGAGTGCAGTGATGCCCTTTTGCCTTTATTCTTTTATCATTTCCTTGGAAAACAGTGCAACAATCACACATTTATGCTTCTTACCTTGGAGCTGGCACTTGGCAAAGAATAAACAACAAAAACCTCAGAAAATAGGCAACAGAGATAAAACTGTCAAGCAAGAGGGAACAAAACAGCTAATTCTAAATTTAACACAAGAATTCCCATAAGATGTTAAAAGATTTATGACAGTATTTTAAAATAACTGAACTTCATTCCATGGTGGAACATCTAGGTAAATCTTACAAGATACCATGTATCTGTGAAATTAGCTGTACATGTCTCATTTTTCTGTTGCAACTGGTTTACTGATGCAATCAATAAGAACTTGCTTTGGAATGCTTTATTAGGTGAATATATCTATGTCAGTCATATGAAATGAACTGGTTTCATATTTCAGTTTTTTTTATTTGAAATACTGTGACAGACTATCAGGAAAGTGTGGATGCTCTGATGATAGTCATTTTAGAGTTTTCAGAGTTTTTATTACAGTTTGCTTATTTGTTTGTTTTCAGAAAAAGTCAGTCAACTTGACATGTCCTTGTCTTGTATTTTATGCAATTTGCTGCACTTCTTGTCTTATTTTACTTAACGTTGCATGGACCCTGTTGGCTGTGCCTTGATTATATCCTCTTGGGTGTACTGATTTAGCTGCAAAGAAAACATACCATTTTCCAAACTCCGGTGCTATTCCTCCAGTATTTAATCTGCACTTTTACAGTGTACATCAGTTTGAAGAAAGATACCAGCATGTGGCAGGTCAGGGAACCAGCACAAGTAAGGAGTCTTGGTATTCAAACAAATTTATATTTTATTCCTACATAGATATGGAGATAAAAGGAAAATAACAGCATATGTTATTTAATTTATACTGAATTTAGACTTAAGCATTTAGATTCTTTCTCTCCCTTTACTCCATAATTATTCAAATCTTTAGTTAACTTGAATAATTGACAAGTTATAATAAATCTATATTCTGGTTGGTTATATGCTATTTTAGAGAGATGTCATATCTGATCTCAACATACCTCCCTCGCATAAAGGATAGCAGGTTCCAGAATCTTCAGTTAAGGAAAAGTAAAACTTTTTTTCATTGATTTAAAATGGGAAAGGATGACAAGAATAAGGAAAGTTGGAACAGTATGAGTGAAATGTGGTAAGCCACTTGGACTTTTGCAGAGAGGCAGCATATGGAAGAAGAAAGTAATCTTTATAGGTTGCCTTTTCCTGCCTAAATGCCAAGTTACCCTCTCAATAAAAGTTGGAGACCTGCAGCTACTTTAACCCATTTTTTTTATTAATTTTTTTTTGCTCAAGGAATTGTTCAGTATTCCATTGTTGGTTTATTTTAAGTGAGAGTGTTTGGCTACTGAATCACAAACTACTGTTGATAAAGCAACATTTGGAAACCGGGAAACTGTCCCTCCTCTCTGCAGTCTCAAAACAAATCATGAATATCATTTATATTTTAAAGCAAAGTTAGTTTGTCCCAATTTAGATTATATTTTTAAAAGGTGGTTACATCAGCTGTGTGACCCTTCTTCCACAATGAATGAAAAAGTAATAATTAAAATAAATTGAAATACATTCAAAAGCCAAAATAACCACCTCAGGGCTTACATTATTAGCAGGGTAATGTGTTGAAAGCACTTTCTAAATTTGGTTGTCTTGCTTCATAAAGTGCTTCAAACATACAGCACATTCTAGTAGTACATATAGCTTATCTTTGCCTCAGGAAGAGATGAGACGCACAGGAAGAGGCAGAGGGGTGGAGGAGAAAATAGGAACTTGGGTGGTTCAGGCACAGTTTAGAGACAAGCCCAGCTGATGGAAAAATAGGCAAAATAATATATGCCCACTAGGCAGGTTCTTCTGCAGAGAAAGTGAGCGGAAGAACTTCCTGTTCATTTACTAATAAAATATAGTAGGGAACTCTGCATCAAGCTTCTTAGCTCCTTGTAATAGTGTCTTGTGTCTCGCACACAGTTAAATGGCAGGAATCTGTGTGGCAAGGTCTAGCCATGCTGACATCCTAAGTGACAGTATCTGCTATATGGCATAATGTTCCTGAAAATATTAATAACGTTTTGGATTATTATCAAAATGTCTCTCTCAATATATATATTTTTTTTACTTCATGTGGGTGATTTGTTATTCATTCCACAGTTGTACTTTATGTGACAGTTATCAGCTCTGCCTGGATAGGCAGTGAAAAGAGAACTTTATAACCAAAACATACATATCAAATTGAACTTTCTGAATTCTAATTTGTTTTCACTTATTCTGTGATAGGAAACCTAGACATTTATATACAGATAGAGAGAATGAGGAAATTATCAAATCCTTCTGGAAAGGAGGCAACCAGTTATTAAAAAAAAAAAAAAAAAGAAAAAAATGTTCACCTGCCCTTAGACTACTTAACGGTTCACTACCATAAAATAGAACATAAAATCCAACTAAGTGCTTGATACACATTAATCTTTTTG